CCTATCAGCCACCTGTGGAATGAACAAGGTTATCAGACGTCAACACCCATCACTATGAGCAGTTGTTTAGGTTTTTAGTTTGTGGTGAACAAAATTTTGAGATATAAAAGTGATCAAATCACTGAAGCTGATACTGGTTACTGATTAAGAATGATAGTGGTGATCGCATGTTAGTGATCATATTGGATTCCCCAGATTGTACATATTGTTACGGTTCCTTGAATAGTGACCTTAAGTCACCTCCTTATAGGCTCAGCCACCGCGAATATCATCATTATTAGTGTAATGTGTAATCCTTTTTCAGCAAACAACACAATGCCAATGTCGACAACCATTTTCAAGTGGATATTCATTGTTGTTTGCATATTTGACTATCACACATTGTATGCTGATATCACATTCGTTGATAATAAGCAACAACATGGTGAGTATCCTCTTAATCAGCGCAAGTTTTCATTACGTATGTTTCATACAAATTCTTTTCCTTAACATATTGAACCGGATCATCAAAATGGCACAGACAGATGGAAGAGTTGATTGTTAAAGTCGAATGGAATGGGGAATTACGATAGAATACGGTCGAAATTGAGAATAATGTCGTTGCATAAGTGCAGATTAGCTTCTTTCTATACTCAGTGGTCGGAAATAGCTCATTTTTCCTATTTGTTAAATCATTACTCAAAGAAATAAATCCACGAGGGCAATATCCTTAAATTTCCAACAGTTAACCGAACATATGATTTATTGCTTGTTATTTGCAGATAGGTAGGTTTTGTCAGGAGTGAAGAGATCAAAACTTTCTTTATCTGTCGATTGTTTCGCTTTTATGTATTTTAATGGCATCAGGGTAAGATTCAGCGCATCGTAGCAAACAGTAGGATCACCTGGATGATGTAAATATCAGCCATCGGTTGATATATTCTGAATACTGCGATTTTGCCTTCGTTGAAAAATTATTCTATTCGCAATCGCTTGCGAGCTGAACAATTACAGTTTCAGCACAATTCAAACGCATCAAATGGAGAGAAATAAACATCTTCGGAGAAATTACATAGTCGCATAATGTTTGATTTTGATCATTGAGCAGAAAGGAAAAAAAATAACAGATTCCATTATGTGATCAATCGAAAATAAAGTCATAAACCTGAGTGATAAAAGCTTCGGTATTCCGCATTCAAGAACATTAAAAAATCGAAGTGCATCTTAAGCAGAGAAAAATTTGACAAACAAAACTTTTAATGACTGAATTTATTGCTTGTAAATACGACATATCATTGGTATTAGCTGCAGTTAATAACCATTGGAATGATTTGCTNAAACCTTTTGAGTTGCATAGTTCTGAATGAATCTATTTGAAGATGAAAATTTTTTATAAAATCTAAAATTTGATAACAAATTTCACTCTATTGTTATGATATGCTGCTGGATTATATTTCAATGAATAATGACAAACACAACCTCAGTCATATGAATCGTGCCCGCAATGGCTAAGGAATTATCAGAATCATTATTTTTGCTACTATGATCTCATATTGAAGCTTATCTCCAAAAGTTTTCTTATCTCAAAATGAGCAATCGGAGTTTCAGTATCCGAAGTGGAAACTCCTCCATCGCATTTCAAAGACAAGCAACGATTAGAAGTGAACGCCAGGTATGGAGAAGCAGATGTGGCCGAGCACGAGGACTTGAAGAGACTACCGAATGTGCTCGAGCCAAAAGAGTACTACATCCGCATTAAACCATATTTTCCCTATCCTGCGATTCAATACCCACAGGGTACAGCATTATTTTCTCTGAAGACTTCATCTCATGCATCTGATAAGCAAGACTATAGTGAACTCTTCCATGAGGTGCTTGTTGAGAAATTGAGTAGAACATATTGAATTAATAGCATTATTAGACAACATACGATCAGACTGTTTGGAAACTTTCATCGGAGTGATGATGCCTTATCTTGAGGTCATTCAGAAATTGAGATCTATAAAGCAGATACTGAGGTGAGAGACTTGGTAAAGGCATTGTGACTTCAAGAAACGATCACTTGAATCTTGCCGACTTTTTTAGGTCTACGTTAAGCTCTGAACATTGCCTGAAATTTACGGCTTTGAACAGTTAGACGGTGCATGACAAAACAAGACTATCAGACTTTATATGTCGTCAAAATTCCAAATGTCACTATCCAAATTTTGAAGGAATGACTGCATATTAAGTTTCAAACGTGTTTTGAGCTTACAATTAGTGAGTGAGGAGCTTGCAGAACGGAATATGACATTCGACGGCGTGACAACGTTCATATTCAAGGTGAAGAAGGCAACTTCGGTGTTCGTTCTTCACGCTCACAATCTCGTATTCGATCACGTTGAATTCACCGACAGTAATGGTATCTCGATTGGCGTAAAATCAACAACTGTAAACGCAACATTGGATCATGTTGTGAGTTGATCACTGATTTGTTTCAATCAGTCGTTAGCTGGTTATGATTATGTGAATATCTGAATGGGTTCAACAGATCTACAGCAGATCAATCGGCTTACACACGAACCTTTGAGCAGTGAATGCAGTTTCAAGTTTGCTTCACAATCAGTCCAAATATCTGATGTGCACCCTAAAACGAGATTTGCAGTTTACTGTCAATCAACAGCAAGCATAGTTAATTGGTGGAGGAATTTCTCATACAAAATAGAATCAAGTATAAGTAGAATGTCCAGAGAATTTT